ACCCATATAGGTCTTCGTCTAATCTATTTCCTGATTGCGTCGCGGTGGATGGAACGCCAGTACTTAAAAATTGGACCAGACATATCTGCGGAAATAGCATGCCGTTATCAGAACAACGCAATCTGTCCCAAAAGGAAGCCATACGAGCAAAGAAGTAATCCATTCTCGGCGAACGTGTTCGATGCACTGCAGTAGCGTGGTAAAAAAGCAGCGTCATTGTCCTGCACTCTTACAGTACTCAGGCTCGCTTTTTTGAAGTTAACGCACAATCGGCAGGTGTGAAATATTATTATTATTATTATTTTATTCAGGACCTCTCGCTGCCGGGCGTGGTTGCCGCCAGACTCGGTAGCGAGGAGTCCTGGGAGGCGGTGGCCTCTTTTGAGGAGAGGTTATGTCGCAAAAGGAGGCTGCGGAGCGGGTGCGCGAGGACGCGGTAGACGCGCACCCGCTTCGGCGCAGACGTACGGGGAGAAGGCGAAGGCAGTTCGCTGCTCGCCTGATCCCCTAGTGAGCCTAGCGGGCTTTGGACAGGGACTCCGGAGCCTGTATTGCACGGCCTCACTCGTCTGGGTCGGAGGACAACTGACCTGCCCCTCCGTTGGCGCGGGAGCCCTGGGGCAAACTAGGGCGGCCGGGCGGAGTCGTGGTGAATGTGCACCGACCCCACGGCGCCGACTCAACCGGCGGGAGGTAAACCCGGGGGGGTTTAGTGGGGTTGGCCCTCCAGTCTGGAGGAAGAGTCCCCATAAAGATTTCCCCTTGTAAAATATTTTTGACGAGACAATATAAAACATATTATTGACGATGTAGTAGTACTAAAGCTCCTTGTGACAGAGTTCGTCCAGGGAAGTACTGCCATCTTAACTATCTCTGCCGCCAAGCAGTAATGTTCAGCATTATTGTGCTCCGGTGTTGAAAGGCAAGGGACCTGGTGAAATTGCAGGCACGTGGGACTTGTCAACTTGTGTCTCTGGGTCACGGGCGCATTGGCAGCGCCCCTAAGATCTTTGCGATAATATAATAAGCTATGAGTGACACTGCAACTGTTATGGACAGGCGTGTCGCTTACCACCAGGCCCACGACTTGTTCGTCTCATCACTTGATAAAAAAAAGAACTGGTGCGTTTACATCGATTCAAACTCGCGACTGTTTATAAGACACAATCTAAAAACTAGAATTATACAGTTTCAAAATTATATAACTTCAAAAACACTTAATTATCAACCAAAAGAGTTTAGTTTTATAATAGTATTTTATACGATCTTAACTGCCTCAGTGGCCGAACGGTAGAGGTCCCAGGTTCGATTCCCGAATTCCATGCAAATATTTGTATGACCTACATTTATTTCTCGCGTAAGTTTGGGAGTAACTTGTGGTTGTCTATGTGTGTGTCCATAGCACCCGCGACCCAGGGTTTCCCTAGTGCAGGGCTATGTTGAGTGTACATACGTATTATAAAAAAAATCGTTGTTCTTGGAGTCGAGAATCGGGTTTAGGTCACGAGGCCTTGCCGAAGTAATAGATACGAGATTTTAAAATGGGCAAAATTAAGCCTTATTACATACCACCCGTCGCTCTTGGTGGGGTTGTGCTTAGAAATGTGCAAAGGGTGAAGTATCTTGGTCACATACTGACGGATGACCTGTGTGATGACCAGGATATAGAGAGAGAGCGTAGGGCGTTGTCTGTGCGTTGTAATATGCTGGCCCGCAGGTTCGCAAGATGCTCAGACGACGTAAAAATCCTGTGGGTCAAGTACACAAAGCGAGCATATAACGCCCTACGCGTACAGTACAACAACGCGTTCAGGATGCTGTTGGGGCTGCCACGATGGTGCAGTGCGTCAGGCATGTTTGCCGAGGCGCACACAGATGGCTTTTATGCACTGATGAGGAAAAAGATCGTCTCCCTCTTGACTCGTGTCAGAAAGAGTCCCAACAGCATCCTGAAAACGATTGCAGGCAGATTTGATTGCCCAATCCTATGGTATTGGATTGGGCAAATCAAATCGGTTCTTTTATATATAAAATAAGGTTAGGTTAATTTGTGCTGTATGTACTAACAATAGTCTAAGTTTTAATTGTTTACTAACACTTTGTCTATGGGCATTTCATTGCCTGAAATAAAAGATTTCATTTCATTTCATTTCATAAAACTTAAATAAGTAATGATTGCATACAATACTTTTTCTACGAGTAAATAAAACCAATATTTAATATATATTTTATTCAATCCATGACAAAAAACCCGATTTTTTCAATCACACGTCTCACGTTTATTTGGGTAGGTAAAGGTTCACCATACAGCCTCTTCATATAATTAGACAAAAGCCTAACAAACGTTACAAAACAAAAAACCAAAGAGGTATAATGGAACTGGCCGAGTACCGCTTAAATTTTGATCATCCTTTAAGATTGAAGAAGATTTTGACCAATATATTTTTTTAATAAAGTATTATGGCCCGGCTGCAAGATCTTTAAGCTAATTTAACTAATCAAGAGGCAGTAGAGCGTTTGAGTAGCATCATGTTTGATATTTTAATTAGCAAAAATGCAACGTTCTTTTTTTAAAACTCACTATAAGTAAGTGTACAGAACTACGATCGTCGAGGATATAACTAGAAATAGATACGAAATAAGGGCCATTCATACCTGGTAACTTATCAGGCAAATGGGCCTTATATAACTTTTTCAATATCAACTCTCGTTTGCGCTGAAATCACAAATTAGAAATAGGTTCGGAACTAAAAGAGCGCCTTTGTAATATGGTTTATAAAATTATAATTGACAGATTAAAAGGGATCATGCCAAAAAAATTTTGACGTTGGTTCCGCCCAAATTTGTGAAACAAATATATGCCTGAAGTTCGCGTGACATGCGACAGGAGATGTTGAATTTTGCGCATTAAAAGTATCAAATTCGTTTTAGCGGAATAACTCTAAAACTAAAGGGATTTAAAAAAATCCGTAGTGACAGTTGTCGATCATGCATAAATATAATTAATTATCTAATTTTTGTCCTAATAACCTGTAGCATGTCGAGGATAAATCGAAAAAATGTGAAAATTGGAGGTCATTTCGTGATTTTTATATATCGAGGAAACTTTATTGTTTTATGTTTTTGATTAATGTCTATGCTTGAATATATCGTGTAGTTACTCGTACAATATTTTATTTTTAACTTTAAAGTGGATATACCCCTCTAAAATCAAATCGAAGATTAGGTTATTTTCCTCTGCTCCCTTTTAAAGTAGTAGTCTTGTATATACTTATATGTATAATTATCATATATGTATAATTATCTATTAAGTGTTTTGTAATTTTTTCGATATTAAATTCTTACCAGCGCACTGAACATATCTTTTAGATAATTATGACGTTCGATGTTTTTAAAGGATTAATTAACTTAGATAAATACGATTATTATTTTAATCACACAAACATTCAATAGATAATTAGTTACGAAGTTTATACTATAATATGTCAAGGCTTTTTGTTTTCCAAAACAGTAATAAACAAAACTTAAGAATGCATAATTCTTTTTGTTCCACATTCTTTATTAGGCTTCGGTGTGATCGGCGTGAAATTGGTGTGGCATAGGCATATTTTCCAGATGTTAAAAACACACTAACACATCTTTGTATTCATGAACTGTTACTAATATAATCAACTTACAGAATCAGGCACGGTATGCTGAAATTGAAAACGGTTTAACAAAGGAATTTTTCTTAGCATGATCTTTCTATTAATAATTATAGAATGGAATAGAATAGAATTATTTATTTCAGACCATGATCCATAGTAATGTTAGTAATATAGTAAATTTTTCTTACGTGCTATGGTTAGTACAAGACAAAATTACTAAAGTACCCTACGCTCATGTAGTGGCACCTAACGTTGTTGATAGGAGCAGTACCGCCTGTTGGCAACAATGGCTAGGATGCTATTAGCTCTGCAGCGCACACGCATCATGAGTGTGGCAGCCCTATTGCGAGTAATGGCTTGAAAGCAGTGTGCGCCTTCTGGAACTTGCCGCCGGATGCACTACAGTGCACATAAGAAAAATTTACTGTATTATTATACACATTACTATGGAACTTGGTCTGCAATGAATTATTCTATTGTATTCTAATCTATAATTATTTTAATTGTACGTAAATATTTTATAGAAATGTTGTGAATAATTAGCATTGAAACTCAATTTACGCCCGCCTTAGGGTAGTCTCAGATTGCCGCAGCTAGCCGGCGCGATGCTGCGACGCATTAAAACGAGCATTGCGACATAAATTTTATCTTCTACGATAAGTTAAGTTTCCTTAGTTTGGCCTCGAGTTTGACAAATTACACCCAAACTCACGAAAGAAATGAATGTAGGCCATACAAATATTTCTCTCGGCCCGGGAATCGGACCCTTGTGCGGCAGTTCAACCATTCGGCAACGGAGACAGTTATATAGTTAATATAGAATAGAACATAAGTATCTACTAAACAAAGTATATATTTCTTCTAACAAAAGAGTAAAGCTGCGCGGTGTACCACCAGCTTCAACGGTTTTTGAAATCACCAGACTTGCGGATCGTGTTCAGGAACGGATGCAGAAGTACTCGTTAAGCGCGGTAATTTTTGTTTTAAGCGACTGTCACATTTATATCGGTGTATTAAATAAAAACACTTTAATTTTACGATAAAGGCAGGATTAATATTTTTTATCTACAATTGATTGATTATTGAATTATAATATATACAATAATCCTCATTATTCCTTTAGGGTCGCTTGTCGACGCAAGTTGGAAAAAAAAATAGTAATTTTTCTATTACTTTATTTTGTAAAGACGCTGTGAGTGTTGTGGTGCAAATTATTAAATAAAATATATATTATGAAGTGTAACATTGACCTAGCAAAATATATACAAAAACAGATTCAAAATCAATGAATATTATGTGTGTTTATTTAAACAGAGGATATGGAAACAAATTTTGTTATTATCAGTTCCAGAAATGGCGATATCTTTGACAGGGAAAATTGTGATAACAATAACAGTCCTGGCTGTCATTGGTGGGTTAACAGCTACTATTATCCTATTAGTAAATGATAGTGACGATGATGATACGACCACGGAAGGTCCAACTACGGAATCCACCACCACCTCAGATCCTGTTACCGATTTGCCAGAGGACATGTTGTATGAAGTTGGAGTTGGTATAGCTGATATGACTGGGCCTTGTGTTGAGATTAATTTTGTAAGTATTTATCGAGTTCTTAGGTTTTCGCGATTGTTACACATAGGAAATGAAACTATTTTTCCGGATTTAAATCGCGTATATTTGTTTTTTCAAACAAACCGACGTTTCGGGCCCTTTACAGGTCCCATGGTCACGGTTGACTCGGTTTGTTTCAAAAAACAAATATACGCGATTTAAATCCGGAAAAATAGTTTCATTTCCTATTTGTAAGTATTTTTGTAAGTTTTTGCATTTTAAATACCGTTGTTGTAACATAACATCTTCCTTCTACATTAGTAGTACAAATGAGAAATGATAACTTTGAATTGCAATAAGATAATTTAAAAGTTTGGGCTTGTAATACAATAATAGAAACCCAGAATAATAATATACTTACTACTAGAATACTGCCGCCGTTAAGTAAAAGGGCGCTTGTGACAGAAAGTCAAATCCGAGAAAATAATGTTCAAAGAAAAAACAATGAAAAATGTCTGCTGTCGCCAAACGAACAGACAAGATAGTTGCTGCAAATGCAATGTAATTACATTATATGCATAAGCATATAATGTAAAATGTAATGTTTACGTTATTGTAAAAATAAAATATTTAATTATTTATGCTCAATTTTTAATTATTAACCTTTTTTCTTTTCATCTTAGTAAGAAAATGTTCGTAAAATACTCAATACTAGGTAACATGGGCGCAAGGAACCACTTATACCTTTTCGATACGATAACTATATCGTTAGTGCAATAATAAGACGAAAGGGCACATAGCACGATTCGTAGCACGATACGTTTACGTAAAACTCTAACTAAACATGAGAAAAATTATTAGTTTTTATAAAAAAATGTACGTATTTAAATAATTGATAACAACTGAACAAAATAATTGAATAGTCTGAGTTGAAAACGTCGTCAGACGTGGTCCTGCTGCTGAAGTAGCTATGTAGAGATCCTACCGCTCGTTCTTTTTATAGCACGTTGCCTAGGATCATGTTGTTTTTTTCTGCTATGTACATTATTACACTGAATGTTAACGAAATTCTCTGCTCCTGATATGCTTTCATTGGCATCTGACGCAGTGCAAAATTCAGGGTGGATTTCGATTCTTAAGGGATCGTGAATTGACCTATTATTGTTAAAATGTATGTCAGGCACATTGACTTACAATTATACGGACGTCGGGTCCGCGCTAAAAAGTGTCCGAACTTATAGGGCGTTAAAATCGTATACAGAGCGTCATTCACGCTTTAGTCTTCGTTTGTTCGACTGACAGCGAAGCAAGCAAAATTAGACAGTACTGCGGTGGCATTACAATTTAAATTCAACGTTTTAGCTTTTTCATATTCCTTTACATGTCACTACGTTTAAATAGGTTGACTTGAGACATTTTTTTTGTGGTTTTTGTATTAGACCCGTCGTCCATTTATTTGTAAGTCAATGGTCAGGCATGGGCGATTTTTCGAACATCTCCGTATTGTCGTTCAAAAAGCTTTAGTCTACATCCATATCAAAGCAGTTTCCAACTACTTCCTTCTCTGAATTTATCAAGCTTTCTCGAGTATTGTCTTGATTGTTTAATGCCTTAGAAAGTAATATAAAACCACGAAAACGTTTCATGTCTCTTGACTGCAACAATATTATATAATATATATAAATACCTTTAGGTAATAAGGACCTTATTTACTACTTTATATAATCACATCGATACATTTAGTAATAGTGCTGTATATATTAAATATTTACTTTCATAATTCAATATTTTCTACTATAGTAATACGAGTATACCTACAACCATTGAAAATATTTCAAAAACTAGAACAAAATGCTTATGGTATGAAATGTGATTTCAAATTGTTGTGTTGTTTATTTTATGACATGAATTAAACACTGTTTAGAAACAGACATTTCAAGAATGTAAATACATAAATTGTATAAAACACAAAACTCTTACTTTACGTAACTTGCGCATAAGTTACTTGCGCTCAGGGCGCAACTGACCGAATATCAATGCGTCCCTCCCTCCCACACCCTTTTTTCTAAAGTGCTAAGAAGGAAGGGCACTTGTGTGTACTTGCGTCCTTGCAACGTAGTATTACCATGAAAATTATCTAACCTAATGCAAAAATAAACGCTAATACCATATGCGACTTAGAAATTAGCAGAAATACTTGATTGAAAAGGCGCATGTGGTCACTAGCGCTCTTTCTGTTTAGTCATAATGGCAGATGCGTCCAAGTCACCAAAGTAATATCAAGCGTGTTACTTAACCGATTGAAATGTGTTAAAACGAAGTGCCGTATATACGCAATTACGCCTTTTCAATTAATTTTAACAAAGTTGTTTTGTAAATGCGTCCATTTATCTTAATTCGACCATAAAAGTGTCGGTACTTACGCCCCTTTCTCTTACGGTAACTCCTTACCTAATTCACATAGGAAAAAAATAAAAATAGGGGCAGATGCCCCTTTTTTTCCTGAACACGGCAGTATACGTAACTCATTTTTAGTAAAAAATGTCACCTGCGTCCTTTTAGCAAAGGACGGCAGAATAGATTATCTACTTTAGTTACTTCAAAAGTATAATGTCGTATGGGATTCTCATGTGGGGTAAAGCGGCATACATACAAACGATATTTGTATTGCAAAAACGAGCGATTCTTCATACATAGTTTCATTAAGAAACAAGATATTCATAACATTGACCTTAGAGCTCAGTCCAAACTCATGGTACCACGATTTCGTTTAAGCAAGGTCAATGACTCTTTTATGGGGAACTGTATACGTTTTTACAATAAGATTCCGGAGTATATATTAGATTATCATTTCTTAAGTTTAAAAACTACATTAAAAATATTTTAGTTGAAAAGTAATTTTACAAAATTGAAAACTACGTGTTAGATTGATGCACGGGCAGACGATACGGCTCTAGATTCCACGCAAATTTGATTCAAAGTGTATTCCATGACATTTACGTTTATTTGAAAAGAGCATTGCCTAGAGTTTCTTGCTCGCTCTTCTCAGGAAAGTCACCATAGTGAACGAGCCTAAAAGTGACATTTTCCAGTGTAAATTTATTTCACCTATGGCATAGATGATTCTTTGACTTTGAAATTGTGTTTTTTTCCACAGATGGGTTATGCAGATTTCGGTCAAAGTGGTGCAGGTATTCATTTAAGACAACACTCACGTGCATTTATTTTTAAAAAAGGAGATACCAGGATCGTGTTGGTCACAGCTGATGTCCAAGCAGTTGGTTTTTCAGTCAGACGACAGGTAGGTGCATTGATCCTTACTGTGTGTAGGCAGACATAGGAGTATACCTTTTATTGATTGTAAATGCTTAAGATTGGAGAGAATTGTTATTCGTTATGCAAGGCTTGTTTGATGCGAGCGCTTACAAGCACTTGAGCAAGAGAAGGACCCCAAGATTGAGAGCTTCGCTGGTAGTTCAGAAATAGAATATTGAGCATAGCGAGGGTTTCAAGGTACGATACGCAAAAAAATTTTGTTACCGAGCGAAACCCACAACTTTTCACCTCAGTACAGTGAGGAAAATGGTGTTGAGTGTGTGCGTTATTATAGATGAAAGAAAAACAGTTGAACTATATTAAATCAGTTTTAATAAACAAAATTAGTTATCGTTGTCAATTTAATGTCATTTAATATATATAATAACTGCCTCCGTGGCCGAACGGTTGTCATGCTGGACTGCTACGCCGCCGAGGTCCCGGGTTCGATTCCCAGGCCGGGAGAAATATTAATATGCCTACATTTATTTCTCTCGTGAGTTTGGGTGTAATTTGTGGTTGTCTATGTGCGTGTCTATGGCACCCACGATACAGGGTTTCCCTAGTGCGGGTCTATGAAAAAAAGAAGCAGAAAGGGAGGTTGGTGTCAAGAGGGTGCAGAAGCATTCACTTCATATTGACTTTATCCAGAGATTGGTACTGAGAGTCGTATTCCAGAACTCCACTCAATGCTCAAGTCAGGATTTGAGCAGACTTGAGTATGATTTCAAGCACTGGAAATACGACCCTAATGGCAAAGACCTGAGTATGATTTTCAATGCTCACTGCAATATTCAAGTCCTGACTTGAGCATTGAGTAGAGTTCTGGAATACGACCCTATATCCCTTATCTGAAATAGCAAATGGCGAAAAAGGAGTCACTTCTCTACATTTTTTACCATTGACATCTTCAGAAAAACAATACATGAAAAAACTTAATAGAATTCAAACAGGTAAACAAAACATTACCTAACCAGACGTGTACAAAAGTTTCACGGCAACTGTATAAAATGTACAAAAACCAACCTGTGTAAAGTTATAACAATAACCCAGAAATATAACTTTTTTTTTTAAAACTGGTTTAACTGGTTTAACTGGTAACTTTTTAAAAAATGGTAAGCGACACGGCTGCCCTAACAATTATAACGCCACTCAGAGCTTTTAAATCACAAAGATCAAGGGGCACTGCGCCCGACACCCTGAGTCATAAGTCGACAAGCCCCATGTGTCTGTAATTTCACCATTAGTTATATTTAAGAATAATGGACAACAGATTATTTCTCTGATTCAAATGTGAACACCAGGCATTTTGGTCATCGAGTATTCTATTACGATTTTAATTATAAATGTTGTTATATTTTAGGTGGTACAAAATCTGCAAGCGAGGTACGGGAATATTTACACAATTCGTAACGTGATTCTGACCGGTACTCACACTCACAGTGCACCAGGGGGACATCTCGTTGATTTCCTACTTGACATCAGCATTTTAGGCTTTTCCAGGGAGACTTACAATGCTTATGTGGAAGGCATCACTAGGGTAAGAACTTTATACTTAAATTAGATGAAAATAGTAATGAGCTTGTTCTGCCAATCGAAAGATAACTGTAGAGACGAAATTTGTATGTTTACATTTTCGAAGAACTTAGTTTTTTTAACCGACTTCAAGAAAAAAGGAGGAGGTTCTCAATTCGACTGTATGTTTTTTTGTTGTTTTTTGTATGTATGTTACGCGATAACTCCGGTATTTGTGAACCAATTTTCACGATTCTTTTTTTGTTGGAAAGAGGGTACCGCCATAGTGGTCCCATTTAATTTTGAAGAAAATCATCCACCTCTAAGGGTGACTGTTCACGCATGAAGATTCATTTTTATAAATAACGCCTAAATTTTAGTACGATGAGCAATTATTTTAATGGTTGATTTTGCTATTCTTTAATTCAAGGCGTTTTTCTCTCAATATACTTTGGGTAGTGAGAACCGATTTTTATTATCTCCTGTGTCAAGTCCCGTATAGTGGCGAACTAGGGGATGAATCGGGGTTTGCGCACTTTCCGGTAACCAATTTCAATAAAACTTCGTAATTATAAATGTAATTCCACGTACTTTTGAGGTCGGTTTTTTTAGTACTCTGTACTGAGATTATTATAATATCAACTGACGGGGCGAACAAGATCGTGCGCCGGATGGTAAGCTACTCGCCTGTCCATAACAGTTGCAGTGCCACTCAGAGCTTTAAATCGCAAAGATCTGGGCACCTCCACTGCGCCCATCACCCTGAGACAAGCTGACAAGTCCCATGTGCCTGTAATTTCACCAGCACCCTTACGATACGCTACGCATAACTTTACGCTGATATCATAATATAGTGACTCGAGAGTCCAATACAATAACACCTTTAGGGCCTTGTTGAGGCTTCCCGGCTTCTGCAGTGCATCTGGCATGTTTGCTGGTGCTGCTGTGGACGATTTTTATGACATTATGCGCAAAATGTCCACATCAGTAGTGCGAGAGCAGCGGTTTTGCGAAAGTTCACCGAGTTACACGTTGTACGTGGTAATATGTAATTAAGTAATAGGTATAATAAGAAATTTAATAATTGTTTATCTACTAACGCAATACTAATATAGTTATAAGGTATGTCATGTTACTAACATAGTAATTTGTATGGACTTTTAGTTGTCTGAAATAAACAATTTTAATTTTTTATTTTTATGTATTTATTACTGCTTGGCGGCAGAAATAGATAAGGTAGCAGTATTTCCCTGGACGAACTCTTTCACAAGGAACTGGTATTATTATTTTTTCCAAATTCAAATCACGAGTACGTTGTTGTTTAAAAAAAACTGTTTAGGGTTCTTTGCAGATGCCGTGGTCACCATTTGAAAATAGTTTTATTTTCAATTTTCGGGGACACTTAGTTCATGAAAATGAACTTTCCGAATAAACTTTATTAATTATTACAGAGTATAATCAACGCTCACGAAAATATAGTGCCAGCTCGACTTTTCTACGGAGAAACGCAAGTTAAGAATGCGCATATGAATCGATCACCGTTTTCTTATGACAACAATCCCGAAACTGAGAGACTTAGGTAAGTTCCTTATCTACTGTGTCTAAAGTACGTATAGCATATTTTGCAATCCCCAAATATGCAGATTGGAGATTTCTTAATTGAATAAATCATTTATTCAATGAAAATATGAGCACGTTTTACTTCTTGGTACATGTGATTCCATTGTCTTCTTTACACTTCGGAGAGACATGTGTCTAGCAGTCTGTCACACAAGTTTTGTTTGAAGATCATTTTATAACAATTAAGAGTCTATACAACCTCAAATGGCTTTGGTTGGTTCCGCATAACAATGAGAGTGTGGAATCAAGAACTTTGGAAAAAGTACTTATATAATTATTAATACAAAGATCGCACACTCAGAAAAAAATCCTTTGAATAATATGGATCTTTGTATTAATAATTATAACAAACTATAGGCCATCTGTTTAGGTACTTAAATAAATGTAAACAATCTCGAGATATCTATTTAATGAAATATACATTTATAAAATGATTTTCCCTTACCTTCAAATACAAAATACAAGTACTTAGCTTCATATGAAATTGCATGCCTATTTTTATACCTATTGATTTGTAAAGCATGTGTTTCAATCATTGACTTACAATTATATGGACGTCGGGTCCGCGCTAAAAAGTGTCCGCACTTGTAAGGCGCTAAAATCGTATACAGAGCGCGACACTCCGCTTTAGTCTTCATTTGTTCGACTGACAGCGCGATACTGCGATGACATTACAATTTAAATTTCGAATAGGTTGACTTGGGACATTTTTTTCGTGGTTTTTGTATTAGACCCGTCGTCCATTTATTTGTAAGTCAATGGTTTCAATAAAAAGATGTATCAAGATTGTTTACACGTAGTTAAGTACCTAAACAAATGGACTATAGTGGAGTAATTGCACAAAAAATAATTGAATATCAATTCAATAAAAATTTAATTAATACTTATATAGTCAAATTGATGATATACACTGATTAGTATACGGTGTTAAAACACGATTCCTAAGAATTATAAACAAAACCACAAACTTTCCTCGAAACTTTTCAAGAGAACCGATTTATTATTAATACTTTATACATACCAACGATTTTTTTATATCAACAGAACTAAATAAAATACGTATGTACACGATATACATTTTTCAAATGAATGATTATCACTAATATCAGGTTTCTTACCACGGTACGACTTCTTTTTATTTTCCCGGTTACGGTTAAATGTTTTGTACTTCGTGATCTTGATTAGTACAAAACATTTAACCGTGATGATGGTTTTAAACTGTCCAGTGCATGGAATCCGGTCCTTAGTGCGTGCAGTACTAAAAACAAAAACACCTCGAGTTCAGTTTCGCGTGCGGATACAGTGAGTGTGGTTTGTGTGAAAAAAGTGAGTGACAATGGTAACGCCACAACAAATCGCGATGAAGGTAGTCGTCGACAGCGCAAGAGGGTAGACAGATATGTCTGCTCTTAAAGCTGTCATCTGTCGCCGTCCAGTCAACCCGTGACCATGGAGCGTGCAACCGTTCCGAAATATCCGGAAAATAAAAAGAAGTCATACCGTGGTAAGAAACCTGATATTAGTGATAATCGTTTAGTGTCTTGGCTGCTCTAAATGTCGATGCCACTTTTGTCGTTTCTTCGCCTTTTTTCCATAAACCTGTTACTGCTATTTATTTTAAGCCACAAAATTCATGTACAATTAGTTTATTTATTGTGGTATGTTCTACTTCCAGATATCTCGGTAACACAGATGACACTCTTCAACAAGTTAGTATAGTGAAATCTGATGGTAGTCTACATGGCGTTCTCAACTGGTTCGCGGTCCACACTACCAGCATGAACATGACCAATCATCTCATTTCCTCTGACAATTTAGGATACGCCTCTATAAGGCTGGAGAAGACTTTAAACCCAAACAGACCTACTGGGCACGTAAGTTTCAAGATTTTAAAAGGTTTTTATGACATGACATTTAAAGTTAGAAAAACATATATAGGTTTCAAACGTACAAAGTCAAATAATTTCACAAACTCCAAGATTTTCGTAAAAATTGAATCGTAAGGTGCATCCTTAATAGAGAGAATTCATAGGATTGCAAGGTATTGGTGTGGATTTGCTTCTTTTTCGTCTAAAAAGGATTTTTTACATCGAAATTTGTAATAAGTATTAATTTGTAATTTGTAATAAGTATATAATACACCAAATTCCGTATTATCCGCCGTTTCCGCCCACGATTTTGGGCAGAAATGCATTAAAACGCTTTGGGTAAAAACCCGTTTCAAACCCTGGTCGTGTGATTGGGTTTTAGCCCACTATCCATCTCTGGTCGCAAATAGAGATCTATTCTCCGTTTTGCATGTCGCAGAAGACGAATAACAGTGCTGTGAATTCACCAGAAAATATAAACACACGCCTTTTTTCACCAAATCTGTCACCCATTATCTAATTAATTATCGAGCGTAATAATTTTTTCAGCCAGAAATAGTAGCAGGATTCTTCTCAGCGAATCTCGGTGACGTGTCTCCAAATATCCGCGGCGCTCGTTGCGAGTTTAGTGGAGATGAATGTGACAACCAGTTTAAGATCTGTGATGCTTTCGAGCGGTGCTTTGCTTTGGGGCCCGGAGACGACATGTTTGAAAGTACTAGGATTATTGGCACTGCTGTTTACGAGGGAGCCTTGGTAAGAAATACGGTCATTCTCGGAATGGTGTTCGTTACCTAATTTCCGTGTTATTAGTTAGTTATTAGTGTCATATTCAAGTACGCTATCGTGTAATTATTAAATAATATTGCACGATAAAAAATCGAATACTGAAATAATAATAATAATGTGTTAGGAATATGGTTGAACGTCGTGGTTTGGTATGCTCCTGTGGAGACTGGGGTACAATCGTTAATGTTCAATACAGAACATAAAATCTCAAGAAGTAAAATAAATAGTACAATACTTTACGTATTAATATAGCAACACCAACAGTTTTAATCGTTGACATTACCGTTGATCATTTTCCCTGTCTTTCAACATTGTTCATAACTGTAAAGAGCATGTCACTAAAAAAAAAATATAGTTTAAAATTTCTAAAAAGACAAAGTGGTCCTTCGAACCTTGTGAACCAGCGACTTATGGATGATCCGCCTCGAAGGACCACTTTAGCTTGGTAAATAAAAGGCTTAATATAAAATATAAATTTAGGGACATGCTCGTTATACAGGAAGATTTTTTAAACACTATCCAAAATTTCATATTATGATCTGCAATGAAAATAATTATATACGTATTTTTTCTTTTAGTATCATTCAGTACTAAAATATTGAGATAAGGCATTACAAAATTATTCAAAAAAATCCTGACGTAAATGGTCACCGCGCATTGCGCTTCCGCCACCCGCCCCGCCATTTGATTGATAACAAATAATAACATCCATAAGTTGCAAATTTTTCCTTCATACTTTAACGGGCTTAGGACCGTCAGATCGCAAAAGGCATTATTGTACCTACCTAAATTTCATAGTGATAAGGTAGTTTAGGTTACTCGTTAACGTTTAAATTAGCTAGGTAGTAGGTAGGTTTAAATTACTCAGAAGGCAATTTTACAAAGTAGGTAGGTAGCCAGCACCTTTTGCAATAAGGCGTATTTAAAAAATTTGAATCAACTTAGAATGTACAATAATTAAAATCAATAAAATTCAACTTGCCTACAATAAAACAAAAAAAAAAAAGATTAAAATCCTAATAACTAAGTGTATTTTAGCAATTGTTCAAAATGCAAACCATTTCTCTCTAAACAGAGTCTAGCACGTTTCTGCACATTGTCTTTCAATTTATTAAGCACTACAGTGTCTCTTTTCACTTCATCAAACGCGCGTATGATTTGCAGTTTTAATGCGTCTAGGCTTTGGGCCTCTTCCACATACACACGTCTTTTAATTTCACCCCACAAAAAAAAGTCACATGGAGTCAGGTCCGGTGAGCGCGCTGGCCACGGGACGGGGCCTCCGCGGCCGATCCAGCGGTCGCCGTGCTCAGCGCCGAGGTATTCGCGCACCGCGGCGGCGTAGTGAGGCGGGGCACCGTCTTGTTGGAAATAAAAGTCGCGCAGGTGCACGAGGGGCACCTCGTCCACAAAGTCCGTGATCACCGTACGCAACATATCCAGATACGTGCCACCGGTCAAGCGTCCCTCGATAAAATACGGCCCAAGTACTTTATTGCCTACGATACCGGCCCACACGTTGGCACTAAAACGCACTTGATGATAGGTTTCCCTTATCATGTGTGGGTTTCGGAATGACCACCAGTGTTAGTTGTGCTGATTGTATAATCCGACACGCGTAAACAAAGCCTCATCGGTCCTCATTATAAGTTCCGGCGTTCGCGCGTGCGCGATCGGTTGTGTGTCAAAATGGTTTTAAATGCGGAAGTGGATACGTTAAAATGTAATAAGTGTAATATTGTTATATGCGAAGTATTAGCATTCATACAGAATAAAATAGAAGTTATGGACGATGAGAGTTTAGTGCGTATATGTGCATCTGGATTTTCGGCTGAAGAACTGGAAGCGGCAAAATTACTGTTATTTTCATCTGTGCCGTCGTCTAACAAGCGCCGTATTAACAGAAAGGGAAGTGGCAAAAGTAACAGACATATTGAAGATATTGTTGCTTTTCTTAAGGAGACCGATCCAGAGAAAATACCGATCTTTGTGGCTCGCGATCTAAATAAGCTACCCCCTATAAGTTTCGACCATGTAGACGTGACTAGCTTATTAAAAGATATCCTTATATTAAAGTCGGAAATCAAGAATATTAGAGAAAACTATGTTACAGCTGATTATTTAGCGCAAGAAATTAAATTAATTGATAAATCAAGTAGTTGTGACCGGAATGTTAATAATTGTCGTGGAGGGTATATGTATATTAGATAGTGGGCCGTTTGCGCTGCCGCACACTCCGTGCGCCCCACCGCCGACGCTGCCCTGTACTACCGGATCTCACCAAACCGGTCGCGAGTCACCCGTGTCGTTGACACCGCGTACAGAGCGAGCGGCCGTCGAGTCACCGAGCGTTACTGGCGAGTTTGCTACGAGTTCCTCGCAAACGAAAACAACTGTAGTAGCGCCAAGCATTTACGAGTATGATGAAATAATAAATAATTGTTCAAGTAAATCGACAATGGCCGAGGTGCTGCGTAAAGAAGGCAAATGGAAAGAACGTCTTCCGACTGAGGAATGGAAAACTGTTCAGAGGAAAAGGTTTAAAAATAAGTTTATTGGACAAAGAGGATGTGCGAGTACCCAGCCTGAGGAAAAATTTAAGGCCGCTGACCTAAAAATACCAATATATATATCTAATGTTCATCTGGATACCCAGGAAAATGATATAAAAAGTTACATTGAGAGCAAGACCAAAGAAAGTGTCTCTTGAAAAAATCATCATGAAAAATAATAAAGGGTATAATAGTTATAAATTATATGTATCCCAACAAAAGCTGGAATTTTTCTTGAATGACAAGTTGTGGCCTGACGGAATCTCGTTTCGGAGGTTTAATTATATGCGAAAGTCACCACAAATACGAGAAACATAACCACAAACAATAGATGGAAAGTTCGCCGTGTACATTAATTACCTTCAACTGTAAGAATGTTAAGCGTTCAGCGGAATGCGTGAAGACATTATGTAAAACATCGGACATAGTTGCACTTCAAGAAACTTGGCTGCTGGAGCCAGAGCTTTCTTTTTTGAGTACCATTGATGAGGACTTTGCTAGCGCGGGGACTTCAGCAGTGGACATGTCAGCGGGTGTACTGCATGGCAGACCTCATGGTGGTACTGCTTTGTTGTGGCGTAAGAGTGCTTTCTCTTCAGTGGCGGTCGTGAGATGCGACAGCGTTAGACTATCGGCAATAAAAGTAACAGTGAATAATCAAGATGTGCTAGTATTCAGTGTTTACATGCCGGTTGATAGGTCAGAAAATTTGCCTGAGTTTACGGAATTATTAGGTAAAATTAGTGCGATTATTGAAAGTGAATATGTTGAATCAGTGTTAATATTAGGCGATTTTAATGCTCATCCGATGGAACTTTTTGGAAATGAGCTACTAAACTTCAGTGCGGATCAAAAATGGTGTTGTGCAGATTTTGAAAAACTTGGTATGTACTCTGACAATTATACATTTGTAAGTGAAGTCCACGGGAGTGCGAGATGGCTTGACCATTGCTTGGTAACAGAGTCTGTATTTAGAATTATAAGTGATATTAAAATTGACTATAATACGTTTTGGTCAGACCATTTTCCACTAAAAGTGGTGTGTAATTTGGCAATTTTAAGACCTAAACATGCTACACAGAAATATGATGTTAATAAGGTTACCTGGGGTACAAGACAACATGATCAAATAGAAATGTATCATGAATATTGTAACTCGCATTTTAGAGAAATGCACTATCCCGAGCAATTTAATAGTTGTAGCAATCATATATTATGCTCTAATGGTGACCATAAGGCCCTTATAGACGAATTATATTCTGTAATTATTGGTACTTTACGTGATGCCGCTAAATTTACGTACAGGGGTAATAATTAAAAAAAACACAAGGTTGTGATTGGTTGGAATAAATATGTTCGTGATGCGCACAGGGAAGCTAGGTCGAAATTTAATTTGTGGGTATTATATGGCAGACCAAGGAGTGGTTTTATTTATAATGAAATGTATGAAAGTCGGAAATTATTTAAGTCAAAATTGAAGTGGTGTCAAAATCACGAAGAACAATTAAAAATGGATATGTTGGCAAAAACCTATTCCGAGAAAAATTTCAAAAAATTCTGGCAATTAACTAGTAATTTTAATGGAAAACCTGGAAGACCTGTGAGCATTAACGGTGTCACTGAAAAGGCTGACATTGCTAATCTTTTTAAAAATCATTTTAAAGTTTTATCACCATTGAGTGCTAATGAATCGTCGGAAAGTAACTGCTGTATTAAGTCTAATCCAAAGGACATTATTATTAGAATTTCAGCCAAGGATGTTGAAAAAGCTATTAGGGATATAACCCGGGGCAAATCACCGGGACATGATAGTCTGAGCATAGAGCATTTGCAACACGCTGGGGTGCATTTGTTTAGAGTGCTTGGTATGTTCTATTCATTGTGTATAAGTCATTGTTATTTGCCACATGAACTAATGAAAACTGTTGTTGTGCCCATACTCAAAAATAGAACCGGTGATATTTCAGACTTAAAGAACTACAGACCCATATCATTGGCGACTATCACAGCTAAAGTATTGGACAGTGTGCTTGAGAAGCACCTTAGAAAACATGTCATCATACATGATTCCCAATTTGGTTTCCAGGCCGGCCTGTCCACTGAGTCCGCGATTCTAGCTCTCAAGCACACTGTGCGTTACTACACGGACAGACGTACAAATGTGTACGCCTGTTTCCTGGACATATCTAGAGCCTTTGATATGGTATCATATGATCTGTTGTAGTCTAAATTACGAAATACTGGTATGCCACCTGAATTAGTTTCTGTTTTTGAGTATTGGTATGGTAATCAAAGTAACGTTGTAAAGTGGGACGGTACTTTTTCTGTGGCGTACAGGTTGGAGTGCGGGGTGAGGCAAGGTGGTTTGACATCGCCGACGCTCTTCAACCTGTATGTTAATGATTTGATTTGCCGATTGAGCAGTGCCCGAGTAGGATGCCATATCGATTCCGTCAGCGTGAACAACATAAGCTACGCCGACGATATGGTGCTGCTCGCCCCGTCTGTCAGTGCGTTGAGAAAACTTTTAAAGTTATGTGAAGAGTATGCGGTCTCGCATGGACTATGTTATAACGTAAAAAAGAGTGAATTTATGGTTTTCAAAGCGGGTTTTAAAACCTCAAATTATGTACCTCCAATACGGCTTAATGGAGTAGACCTCAAAAGAGTCACTGAGTTTAAATATTTGGGACACATTGTGAATGAACGCCTTAAAGACGACAGTGACATTGAAAGAGAGCGTAGAGCGCTGGTGGTAAGGGGAAATATGCTGATCCGCAGATTTGCTCGCAGTACTAAAGAAATAAAGATTTTACTTTTTAAGACATATTGCCAGTCGTTTTACACGAGCAGTCTGTGGATCTCATATAGCAAATGTGCTTACAGTGCTCTGCGCGTTCAGTTTAATAACATCTTCAGGGCTTTGTTGGGGAGGCCGCGCTTCTGCAGTGCGTCGGGGATGTTTGCCGAAGCCCGTATTGACGATTTCTATGCGATCATGCGTAAAAAGGCGAACTCCCTGAGATGCAGATTGCGTTGCAGCACCAACGGAGTCCTGAAGATGATAGCTGATAGGTGTGAGGGCCCCATCCTCAAATATTGGATGGAACTACAGAGGGGGGTATATGTCCATATCCGAAATTAGATGTGTAGGAGTTGTATATGTGCCCTTCCTTCTTGTAGCATTTTATTATAAATTTATAGATTAATTACTTATGTACTAACCTAATTTTAAGTCAAATTGTTACTAACTAACTAACAATACTATGGACGAAGTCTGAAATAAACAATATTTTATTTTTTTATTTTTATTTTATTTATTTTTGTTTATAACGGCCGTCGGGTGCGCAATTAGCCACTCGCAGAAGGCTCGGTGGGGCGCAGCATCTGCATCACTTAATGCTTGCACCTTTGGAAGTGGTAAGGGTGCAACCCTGCGGTGTTGAGCAGCTTCCAGACGGCGTACTGGCTGACCTCGAAGCGTCTCGCTGCATCTCGAGTACTTGCACGAGGGTTTCATTCGAAAAAATCGAAGATTTCTTCCTCGATCTCTACTGGCAGTCTTTGCCTTCCACGCCTTTGTGCATGTGAAGGAGAAGTGAACTGGCCATGATCTAACAACCTTTGATTGGCAGCGAGAATCGTGGCACAGATACCTAATGCCCAAATAAAATTTGGATAGTGATAAAAAAATCTTCCTGTATATAAAACCAAAAACACCGAGATGTTACAAGTAATCGAACGCATCACACATTTGACTAGAACCGACACTTTAGAAACTACATTTTTATAAGGAAATAAAAAAACATTAGTTTAATTTCAGGAAGTATTGAGCAGTCCTGGACAAGAACTAACGGGCGAGTTGGCAGTTGTTCATCAATTCGTTGAATTCTCCGAAGAAACTGTCGCGAAATACGATACTATCACCAAGACGTTTAACACGGTTTGTATTGCAAGACTTTTATTAAACGGTTTCGCCACTAGCGACTGAGAAAAACCTATTTGTGGAGAAATTCCTATTTACATCATGCGAGAAAAGAATTTAGGAAATAACCTGAGAATGTAAGGCAGTCGAGTATTTAAATGTTCTCTAGTGTAATCCGTAAGAGCAGTACGCTTTTGAAGAACGTCAAAAGCGGAATGGTTAAAATATTCCTGTGTACGAAACTCTACAAAAAAAAGTACAAAAAAATTGTAATTCACTTCAAATAGTACGACGTGATCTAAATGGGCACGCGGACCCAAATGACTTTCAGGTCACAATCCCTTTGCGAATCTGTGGATTTTCTCCTGAGACACCTGTATCTCCTCTAGTTCGCTCCATGGCTTTGTTAATTGACGTTGGTTCAAATCCAGCAGGATCGAAAGAATTTTTTCGTAGTCATATCATTGTATTAATAAATTATAACAAACCCTGTAGGTATAATTTACCAAGAAGGCAGAATGTCAAAGCAGAATAAGTATCTTTACAGAGTTGATTTAGCAGTGATTATATGACCGCCTCCGAGGTCACACCGTTTTCATAGTGTCGCCATCTCTGAGGTCCCGGCTTCCCAGCCGGGTCAGTGTAGAAACGTGTGTGATGTTGTCTAATATTTATTATTTTTATTATATGATTTTCTTGCATTATTTTTTAGAGTGATCCAGTAAATGGTTGTGTTGCTGCGATGGGGTACAGTTTCGCATCTGGAACTATTGACGGCGCAAACACGTTGAATATCACTCAGGTGGGTAAATAATTAAAGCTTTATCGTCTCAGCTTCTTTATCTGGCTTTCGCAAAAGAATTAAAGAGTTTACGCCAATAGGGCAAATGAACGGCATCAATCACTAAAGCTAGTTGTTAATTTATTTTAGTATAGTTATGACTCGGACATTATTCTTATTATTATTATTAATTTTGTTATTTTATACTGTCTAAGAGCACGCTGCATATTGTAATAATTATATTATAAATTGGGTATTGTTATTTTCAATGTTTAGGTTACGGATCAAATCCTTGTTGTTCTTGTTCGTTGTTAAATAGGCATAGCTATCTACCTCTTCTCAGGCTCCAGCTGAAAATCAGCGCTGTGCTCTGCCCAGCATTAAGCTGAGCTGGCTAGCCTTTTCGGCTATTAATTATGTACTTAGTAATATATATATTTTTTGGTTATTTTTTAATTTTTTAATTTAAATTTAGGCGAATATTATTATTATTATTTATAATAGCCGAATAAATGTTTCTTTCTTTCTTTCTTTATTTCAGTAAGCATTAAGGTGGCGCTTGACATGGCCATTTGTCTTTGCGTATTTAAAATATGTTTGGCAAATAATCAACTTGTGTAGATAGCATGTGTGACAAGGTATTTGCCATGTTTGTCTATTTGACAAATACATCAATCTCTACTGAGAATATCCACAACATAGGGGCGTAATCTCAGCCCACGTCTAGTCTCCCGATGATGGAAAGGGGAAGAAGGAATCAAATTGTAAAATTCCATCGCACACTCTCCGTGATATATCCTGTAGAATACCGAGCAGCAGCGACTTTACGGCGGTGTTCAAGGCTCTGCAGCTTCGCCTCCACTAATTCTGAGTCACCTATAAGCCTCTTGCCACGCTTGTCAATTAAATCCAAGGCCATGTCAATTAAATGGCCAGTTGGTATTTAGCAGAGCCATCCTATAAGTGGCAGCAGTACTCCATACACGGCCGGACTTGTTACAACAAGTAACGTGGCGAACAAATCCTGAGCCTAGTGGTTAGTGACTTGCCACCTATATCAGGTGCTGTGTAGTAGCAGTACAGCTCCTCGTGAAAGGGTTCGTCGTTCGAGAAGTACTGCCTTACCCATTTTTGTCGCCATTTTTGTTAGCATTACTGCGTTCCGGCTTGGAAGGGCAAGGGTGTGATACTAAAAGCGACCGTCAGTCCTTTTTTTATAATACCGACAAACAACTCGTGCGCCTGGTGGTAAGCGACACGCCTATCCATAACAGATGCGGTGCCACTCAGAGCTTTAAATAGTAATGATCTTAGGGGCACTGCCACTGCGTCCGTCACCCTGAGACATAACGATACATCATTCCATTTCATCGGTTATTCTCGGTCTAGTGTTCACTACGTAATGCCGTGGCCATTTTTGTTATTTAAATATTCAAGTATATTATCGTGTAATTATTAAATAATATTGCACGATAAAAAATCTAATAATTAAATAAAAAAAATTGCCACGGAAATTACGTAGTCGGAGTATATGTAATTTTCACGATCTTGTAAATAATTTAACATTTTTATAGTAGTAAAATGAAATTGTCAACTATGATCTGAGGGTGATTGTACGAGTAATAAAAAAAAAATTATTGTAAAATTTCAGGGTACCGTGACTGGTAACGACCTTTTGGATTATATTACCGCTATAGCTATGAATGCTACAGAGGAGGACAGGGAGTGTCACGCCCCGAAGCCAATTTTATTAGCTACTGGACGAGTAAGTATTTAACCACATCGATCAGAATTTCAGTTACGAGGGAGGTGGATAGTACGCACAGCGGCAAATTTAACAGAAGAAAATAAAGTGAGAATATAAAATACTAACATATACATTTAAATAAATACTAATTCTTATTTACATAAGGTATCTGCACGTATATTCTCGAGGTTGGTATATTCGTAAAATTAATCCAATCAAAATGTATAGTTGCAAACTAACGTAACTGCTAGAAGCCTATTGTCCCCTTGCACTAAGCTTAAGTATGTCTTAAACCAATGCTTAAATTGATAAGACACTCTTAACACAATGTATTAAGAGTGTCTTTTGCATTGCAATTATTGGTTTAAGACGTACCTAGGTTTAGTGCAAGTGGACATAAGAAACCCAAATAAATTAATATATAATACTAGACAACACCAAAGACACTTCCAAAGTAATTCTTAGAAAAAAAATTAATCAATACATAAATACAATAATATAAACTATGAAAAGAATAAGTTGAAGCCAACTAATAATTTATTCCATAGGCAAATTTTTTTAACTTCTAAACGTTTTTTGGTAAGCTACTGCTCGTTCACTACGCTGACCTCCCTGAGAAGAACGAGGAAGAAAGTCTTGGGATTGCTCTTTTCAAGTAAACTTAAATCCTATAGAATACATTTTGAATCATATTTGTGTGGAATCTAGACTCACGTTGCCTTTCCATACATCTTTATACATACACGTAATCTACAATTTTGTAATATGACTTTTCAATTAGAATACTTTTAATGTAGGTTTTAAACTTAGGAAATGGTAATTTTAATATATGCTCCAGAATCTTATTGTAAAACGAATATATTTTCCCATAAAATAATCGTTTACCTTAGTTAAACGAAATCGTGGTACCATGAGTTTGGATTTAGTATAATAGCCGACAGTGTCCGTGTAAATCTGTGCAACAAACGCCATCTAATTGATTTGTTTGAAAACTAGAAATTAGAGTAGTTTTGATAAATTGTAGTTCGTCAATTATTTGCAAAGGTACTGGTGTACCTATAAGGACTAAATACCCGACTACGCTGTCTTGTAGAGCGATTCGAAATCCTCTTGAATTTATTGGTCCATGCTTCAGACGATTAAATATGTTGATGTACTGGGTTTCAGCATACCTAAGACTCTAATTTGCAACCTCAAACCATTTTGTTTTCAGGGAAACTTCCCGATTCCCTGGCATCCTAGGATCGTATCAGTTTCCCTGATTTGGCTGGGGGATTTTGTCATCGCTGGTGTACCTGGGGAACCGACTACAATGGCCGGAAGACGTATGAAGGACGTCATTGGCTCGGTCATGGAAAGAAACGGCTTTGAGCCCAGGGTTGCTATATCTGGTTTGACCAATGAATACATTCACTATGTTGCTACCTTTGAGGAATATCAGGTAAGTTCAATGCTTAAAGCTTTGTATATGACACCAATATTTTGCAATACTACTTCATCATTATCATCAGCCTATCGCAAACCACTGATGAACATAGGCCTCTCCCAATGCGCGCCATTTCGCCTCGTCCTCGGCCTGTTGCTTTCATCTGCTGCCAGCTTTCCTTCATCCATGCATTATTGATTATGCCAAAATGACTAAATCGAATAACGCCAATTAAGAGGTCAAATAACATCATATAGCGCGTGATACAGCAATGTTGGAAGGTAATATATACATATATAACAGGAAATAGCACACGCACGATTATTCGTGCAGGCTTTTCCGCGCGTAATGTGTAAAGAAGGCTGATCACATTTTTTTTACAGATACAACGTTATGAAGCCGCGTCTACAATCTATGGTCCGTACACGTTGGACATATTTTTGAATAAATTCAACGAATTTACCCAAGTTGCAATCGAGGTATGACAATGAATTGAAATTAGGGTATAGTTATGATATTAAACGGGGGTCACCGCTCTTACCAACAGAGCTATAGATCGAGTCAGTTCCGTTGAGTCTATTATAGTTTTCCTTGTAATATTAATAAAACATTGATCATGTACTAAAATTATTTTCAGAATTTTGACAAACACACGTGTCAATAGATGGCATTGCGTGTTACAATAAATTTGTAAATCAACTCTTCCTAATATGGGTAAATGACGCTAATAATAATAATACTACTTTGATTCGGACCAAAAACAATTAGCCACAGTTTGTTAGTAAAGAACTTAGGAATAAGGTTAGTATGATGCTATTCAAATGTTAAAATTAAAATAAAATGAGACTAAATTAAAATAAAATAAAATAAAAAAACTATGATATCCGCCACCACTTTTAGCATACTGTTGGGGTACCCATGCACACGTCGCCAAAGTGAGGCCAAAAAAAATCTGCGCCTATAAGCGCCATCTAGTTGATTTGTTTGTAATCACTAGAAGTTGGAGTAGCTTTGGTAAATTGCAGCATGTCAATGTAAAACAAAATTGCTATTTGGTACTCGTCGCGACATCTGGTGCACCAATTGGTACTAAATAGTTACCACGCAGTCCTGTACCGCGATTGGTCAATGGTATAGACTTATAGTCTGTATATTTTATTTCTAATAGCTGTTGATTTTCTTTAATAAATCATATAAAAATAAACAAAAGAGCGGTGGCCCCGTGTGGCCACAGATCGACGAAATTACTCTTTGCGTTGTTCCATATTTGTGTAAATAATAATTACAAACTAGTGGAGTATTATAACAAAAAAAGTCACGGTATTCAATAAAATAAATTGTAAAATTGTTCTTAAAAAGACGTAAATTTGTTCGTTACAAGTTGACTGCAACTTGTAAGAACAATTTTTCAAAGAAACGTAACCATAATGACTTCCCAACTTGCTTAAGTTGGATAGTCTTGTGGAATTAATGATTAATTTTGAAGGGCGGAGACGTGCCTGCGGGTCCGGAGCCAGAAGACAATCGCGGTCGAGCCATCTCCGTAGTCTTGCCAGTGATAGTGGACTCCTCTCCGTTAGGCCGTAGCTTCGGGGATGTGCTGTCTCAGCCGGCTGAAGTTGTACGCAGGGGAGATACAGTTAGAGCGACTTTTGTAAGTAGTATCTACACTCATTGACGTATTTTGAAGAACGCCAAGAAAAGGTTGAATTGTGATAGTTCATATGCACTACTGCCCACATATACCACAGCGCCGCCACCAAAGAGGAAAATTGGTAGTTGAATTTAGATTTGCGACGATGCGATCTCCTTCATCGTCAGCCCATCTTTTTCTTACTCTCTTTCTGGTTCCTGGCCACCAACTTTAGAAATTTTGAATCGTTCTCTAATTCCTTTCCTTCGATATTCTTATTTTAGTTCGTTCCGTCGTCACTCCCATCAAAATTCTCGAAGAGATAGGACATGCGCATCGTAAGCCTCAATCTTCAATCATGTAAATCTCACGTATTTTAACTGCTTAAAAAGCATTGGATATATATATATACCAATACAAGCTTTTTAATTTCGGCAAGACTGGGCTACAGATGCAGCAGCTTAGCTGTGGCAACTAGTTGTGCAATTCACAACGGGATGTGAGCGTGTCAACAAATTCGGTACCTATTTGAAAAATAGGGAGCGTGTTATACGAGCATCCGACACTAACTAGCCTTGTGAGTACCAGATGAAGTTCGTGACAACGGTCTGTGCCAACTCTGTCCACAATCCTGATCTGATATACTTTCCTGGTCCCTATGCAGGCTTGCTTGCACAGATTAGGCCCTTCCCGTATAACCAAGAGGTTGATAGGGAGGGACACTATGATCAAAACGTAGATATGAGATACGGGACTGGCCACATATACCAGCACGTTATATTATCTATTTCTGCCGCCAAGCATAAACATTACAGCGTTCTGGTTTCGAAGGGCAAAGGTGAAATTACAGGCATATTGGACTTGTCAACTTATGTCCAAAGGTGTCTGGCGCAGTGGCAGTACTCCTCAGATCTTTGTTATTTAAATCTCTGGTGGTGGTGGCAGTGCAACTGTTATGGACAGGCGTGTCGCTTACCACCAGTCACATGACTTGTTCGTCCCGTCACCGTTTTATTTGAAAAAAGAATGACTTCAATCGTCTTTTGATTTCGATTACATATTTGCAAGTGTATCTTCATCTACTGTACATATTCAGATGTTTCAAGTTTAACATTCTCAGGTGGCGGCGAACCCCCGTAACGATTTGAAACAGGAGTCAACACACGCGGCGATTGAAAGGTTTGAGCTTGGAAACTGGGAAGTTATAGCGACTGACGCGGATTGGGAAACGAAGTAAGTGCAGTCTTTAAAATTAACTAATTAATGCACACATTCTACTTATAGCCTCACACTAAAGAAACCCTGTATCGCGGATGCCATGGAGACACCCTTCGACAACAACAAATTGCACCCAAACTCACGAGAGAAATAAATGCCGGCCATACAATTTTTTCTCCCACAGAGGCAGTTTTTGTATCGTTAATTTATTGTTTATGAACAGTAGATTTTTCGTCATGAATCTCATTGTCCTACTACTGAGCACAGGTTTCATCTAAGGAGATGGTTTATGCCACAACGATGACAAAATGCAAAGTTTCATAAATCTTCTTAAGCGGGCTGGTTTTACAGCGATGTTTGCTTACCGCTGAAGCAAGCCATATTTTTAAAAATGTACATAGCGTAATTATATAATAAAAATTCATACAAACAATATAAACCAGATCGCGCCACACGTCGCCGACAAGTGCAACACGTGTAGATTAGTTTAGTTTATTTTATTGTCATATTATATTGTATGTGTGTTAGTCCTTAAGGTATATATTATATGGGTCATGTGGTCTGAAATAAATGTTTAAATATATAAAAACTAATGTTGGTGGTCGTAATTTGTCAGTTTCCCGTTAAATGATATAGTTAAAAATACACTGCTTCGAAACCCATAATGACCAATTTTAAAGGTCCAACGTAAACAGCAAGTCCTCAAAATTTTGTTACTTCAGTAACACGGTGAATCGTTTTATAATAAATTTATGTTTAATATACACTTCGATCGATTTTATCAATATTGTTATTCTGTCATCTGAAACTATTATTTCTCTTCATAATAGATAACGAAACCACGCCTTGTATAGTATGGGGACCGTGCCTCACAAATATAATTTATAACAAAGTATGAGCGAATGTGAATTAGTTTTGATGGCCTTTAGATCATAAAGTCAATGGTATTTTGATAGAAATACGTATGGGCAGTATTAGGAGTATTTTTTTATCAGCCACAATGGTATTGGGCATTCTGTGATTGGTAGATTTGAATGTTTTTATTACCCCCAACGCAAGCAGAAGAGTTGCTTAGTAGTTGGCGTACAGTTGAATATTTGGAGTACACTGTTTTGTATTAGGGGTTTCTTCAATTTAAAGTTTAACTTGTAAGTTCAATATTATACTTCGAATCTACAGCATAATATTCTCTAACGGCAAAGCGTAATAGATTCGAAAGTTTTTGTAAGAATATGGTTTTATCGAGTTCTTAGGTTTTCGCGATTGTTACACATAGGAAATGAAACTATTTTTCCGGATTTAAATCGCGTATATTTGTTTTTTCAAACAAACCGACGTTTCGGGCCCTTTACAGGTCCCATGGTCACGGTTGACTGTCAACCGTGACCATGGGACCTGTAAAGGGCAAAATACAAACAAATATACGCGATTTAAATCCGGAAAGATAGTTTCATTTCCAATATGGTTTTAGTTTTCTAAAAAAAATTCTTCAATTTACTTTTGAATTGAAAAACTCACGTATTGATTTCTGGAATAGTATAATAGTTACGTTGTTAAAAACATGTCGATAAGAATCAGTATGATTGTTGTGCATGAACAATACTGTTTACGCACTTACCTACACCAATTCAAAAGCATTTACATTGTAGCAGTTGTTGTATCTATCGTAGACTCCATTTATTCATCCGATGCAACGACATCACAATTGAGAACATTCACACAGGACTGGTAGCTGTAAAGGTACTAATTGGTGATAAATCTGTAATAGATTTCTCATAGATGGCGCTACGACTAAAAAGTCGTTGAAAGACCAATGCAAAGACACGACGCAAGCACATAGAAGAATTCGTGAGGTCCGTTGGTTCGTTCCGTGGCTTAGTTGGTATAGCGTCTGCCACGGTATGCAAGAAGACGTCGGTTTGAATCCGACCGGATCGAAGGAATTTTTTCTGAGTGTTCGATCTTTGTATTAATAATTATAACAAACTAGATAAGTAATTTCACAAAAAAATAATTGAATATCAATTCAATAAAAATTTAATTATCATTCACACAGCTAAAACTATTATTCTGTTGAGTATTCTAAAGTTTACGTCCGGAGAAACAAAGACGTTACTGTAGTTTAAACCATACACCTTAAACTATACCTTTGGCTTTGTTATATGCGATTTATTATTTTCTTTCAGGTTCATCTGGCAGCGCCAATCTCTTTTACTGGCCACGAGTAACGTTATCATCGAATGGACAGTTCCCAGCGACGCCATTATAACGCAGTACCGCATCGTTTACTACGGCGTCGCACGCAGCTTACTCGGCAACTTATCTGAGTTCAGTGGAACTAGTAATAGTTTTAGAGTTACTGATGGAATAAATATTTAGATTTATAATGCAACAATAACATTTTGTATTATTTCTGGAAGCAGTATCAGAAATTCCATTCCATCTCATATCAAATACCTGTGGTACGGAGGTAAGCAGTTGACAAAGTCTGTTGGAGTGACGATATTGAAGGACCGGTTGCTATGGAGTTAGAACGCAGAGCGGCTGGCGGGTATTGGTGAATTAGATAGCAACTAACGATTACTATTTATAATAACTTAATCGCTTGTCAAGTTGATAATCATGGTATTCCTTCGTCTTTGAATGATGACACGAATAATAATAAGTGAACAGTTTTTACGATAACTGAATTGCATGCATTTGACATTGTAGTATGAACTTCACATTAGATTTTTTTTGTATCCTATTGTAAAGTGACGAAATGAATAAGTCCGTCCATTTAGTGGTAAGCGACTATGCCTGTCCATAACAGTTGCAATACCACGTAGAGCTTTAAATCGCAAAGTTATGAGGAGCATTGCTATTGGACTCGGCACCCTGAGAGATAAAGTTGACAAATCCCATATGCCTATAGTTTCACCAGTACCCTTACCCTTCAAAACCGGAACGCAGTGATGCTCAGATTGCTTGGCGGTAGAAATAGAACCTTATGGTGGCTGTACTTAGTTGGAAGAACTTTCATTATGAGCTCTACTGCTACTATTTTAAGTAATACGCAGTTAGGAGTAATAATAGCGGACGAACAAAACAAAACCATCAAACATCAAGTAGATGTAATTAATACAAAATACGGGAACTGATTGTGAAACTTCAAATAAAAACAATTATTCGCCTTCGTTAAGGATCAAACATAGTAAACCTACATGTTATTAGATAGATTATGAAACATAGACACGTTGTTTGTCTCCGTTCAGACAGACATCCAGAAACAGCCTATTGTTAACTCGATGCGTTTATACAGGAGAAATCTTCGCAGCAAAGAAGCAACGAGCAATAGGTAGAGAGTCACAATATGTACTATAGTATTCTATATCCAAATAACAAGTAGTGGAAGTCATTTTACTTTAAAATCTGGTTGAAGATAGGACTTTTGTATAATAGACTGTCTGCTTAGTGTGATTGAGTCTTTGGTTACTTGTAGTTTATGTTGTGATTCTGTAGAAGGAAGTTGGACATTTTATAAGAGGTGTTTTATCTTTTTATTATGGTAACGCTTTAAAAGGAACTGTTTGCACCAAAGGTACTCTGTATATTTAGAAACTAGGATTAGAATGGCAACAAATTTCATAAAATATTCCGTCATTTATGAATTACAAATAGTTCCTATGGTTACGGTACAGAATTATAGTGCTAAGAAAAATAATGTTATATCGTTCATTATAAATTGATAGTGTTCATTAATGAAGTGCACGTCTATGGAAGTGGTTATTTTCGTTAAATCTACGATACTACACTATTACTTTAGTCTAGATTGAATTATTAATTATAAAATATATATACTTTATCACAGACTGAGTGTAAATTAACAGATTGATGTGATATGTAAGTAGTGACAGTGAAACAATTTGTTTTTTGTTTTTTTTAATTCGGGGTCATTCAACTAGTGTTGAGTTGGCGAACCATTATGTTTGGTGTATGACAGACTCCTAATGGTATACGTAATTTCAGTGACCTTTCAAAGACTTTTGATTGTGAGCACCAAGATATTCTGGTTGGGAAAGCTTGCTATTATTGTGTGGCGGTTCGAGTCCTCTACTTTCTTAAATTGTATTTAAATAATAGGACTTAGAGGGTCGATAACAACGGTGCGAGATCATCAGGGTCTGCGGTTAACATGGGCGTCCCTCAAGGGTCAATTCTAGGTCCATTTCCGTATCTAATGTATATTATTGACTTTCCTCGCTTCGAGGAAGGTATATAATAATTATGTAAAAATATTGTTTGGTAATGTTGCTTTATTGCACCATTGATGTTAATAAGGCCATATCTGCAAAATTACAACTTTCATGATTCCACGATCAAAATTAGAGACCGCTCACACTAGCGTCTTTTGAACGTCAGCGTCTTGCCAACGCACAAACAGCGTCAACACGATGTCCGCGCGCCATCCAGTGCAGGGTATATCCGACGTTCAGCTCTATTCCGCAGTCGCTGTGTGCTGGCGTTGCGTCGTCGCAGCCGCGCGGACGTCTGTGGTGTCGAAGCTGTGCGTGCGTTAGCAAGACGCTGTGCGTGCTTTGGACAAGACACTGACGCTCGAAAGACGATAGTGTTTCTGTGTGTCTCTTAGTCGATAACTTTTTATACTTAAATAGGAGAGTTATAAAATTTTACATATACATAATTTCTTTCATGTAGTTCGGATTATTTTTATGACTTTAATGTGGTTAAAGCACTTTTCACGTATAATTGTGAAGTATATAAACGACTTGTGTGTGTGTCCGTTAAATTTTAAGTTACATCCATGCGTGAAAAATGGGCGATGTAGGTGGAATTATCATGTATTAACATTTTCGTTGAATTTTCGTATATCAATACGAGTAGGTACAGCATAGGTTCTTAAAGTAGTCCCTACCTGGCGCTGAAGAATCCTAAGGGGGTAGGGGCTTCAGAAGCAATTGGGGGGCATTGATGCTATGCAGGGAGTGCCACCGAATTTGAAAAAAAAGTCTGAATTATGTATACATATAAAATCCATGATTTAAAAAGATGACAGCTAATAATCTCAGTACAGAGTACTAAAAAAACCGACATCAAAAGTACGTGGAAGTACGTCTATTTGCTAAGTTTTATTGAAATATTCTTAAATTCGCCACTATACAGGACTTGACACTGGAGATAATAAAAATAGGCTCTCACTACTCAAATTATATGGAGAGAAAAACGCCTTGAATTGGAGAAATATCAAAATCAACCATTAAAATAATTGCTCCTTAGTAAAATTTAGGTGCCATTTATAAAAATGAATCTTCATGTGTGAACAGCCACCCTTAGAGGTGGATGATTTTCAAAATGAAATGGGACTACTATGGAAGTACCCCCTTTCCAACAAAAAAAGAATCATGAAAATCGGCTCACAAATACCGGAGTTATCGCGTAACATACATATAAAAAAATATATAGTCGAATTGAGAACCTCCTCCTTTTTTGAAGTCGGTTAAAAACCAGCGACACTACAACTTAATGTGTGTCTATTGGTGAGGACCCATAATAGGCTCTCCACCAATATTTCAGTTATTAAATATAGCCGTTGGTCTCCCAATACATTAGAATTAAAATAAAATAAAATAACTAACGAGTACAGCAGTAATATGACGTATGAAACTTACTACTATACTTCGTTCAACCATTTATTTACGAAGGTTTATTGACAGGCAACCATTTCTTTTATTTTTTTCCATCCTCTAAGGTAACTATAGACAAAAAAATACAATATTACATGGATGCAATGATCCTACATACTGTTTTTTTTCTTAGCTTCATAACTCCGTTATGTACTCGAACGTAGCTCCGATATTTATCGAGTCGACAGATTACATAATGAAGATTATTCAAGTTGATAAATTTTGGTACATACTTGTCTTAAATTGTAATGAAATGAAATAAATTATGAATAATTAAAATGCAATGTTTTGTTTCTTATAATGAATTGAACCCTCAGAAACATTAATTATTAATTCTCGAGTGCACAAATTGTCAAACGCAACATCACGATCCCAATGAGACAATATCTTTTTTTGTACCCTCACACTCTCTCACATTGCAATGAACAAAGAAAAACATTATACTAATATTTTATACTATATTATGAGTTATCTATTTATTTTACCGCTATCTATAAGGGGTTATAAACTTTGCCTTGTTAAAGATAACTATTATCAAAATTATGTAAGAAAAACCTCGTATTATACAACTAATTACATTCATACATTTTTTAGCGTTTAGTTTGTTTTCATTACATTGATGGTTTGCATTCGTCTCGTATATTTGTAAAAAAAAACATTTTATTCATGTACAATGAAATTATCCTCACAAGAAACTGAGCCGATCATAAAATTTTAAATAGTAATGTAATTGTTGTCGACAGTTTTATCGATAGATTGTGAAAGAAGATAACATTTTGGCAAAAATATTTGAATTGTGAGTGTTAGTACGTTCTAATTGCGTTATTTCCTTCTTTATTCATATTTTGACCGTTGGCCTACTAGTTTCGAAATCAAGTTTTATTTACATAAATTTTTGTAAGGACACGCGAATTTGATTACCTATATTGAATTAAAATCAAAAAGCCCAGTAGATAAACGGATAATGGGTCGATGATGATTCAAATGATACCGGCTTTTTATAGCATAAGCGTAACATCATCAACATTCAGTCTATAGTCGATAGAATATTTATCGACTGCAATCACTAGCCGTTCGCAAGCGGGCAACACTTTTGAACTGTCATTTTACTCCATCTTCAAAAAAAACAAACTGTAAGGTAGGATAACAACGTAGCAATTTCGACAAACCCTTTTGTGAGAAATAAAAAAACAATATGGCACTTGTTACACTATTTCAAGTAATGTGGAAGACTCGACTTTGATAATTAGGAAATGTTTTGAAAAATCTTGTAGTTTTTCATGGAGAACCTGCGGACTGTTAAGCAGTTTATTTTGGAGTAACTACATTTGTATATTTCTCATTTTAAATAATTACGAAATGTGATACTCACCTATTAAACAATTGCAAAGAGCTTGTATTACAAGGCATCTGCAGTGATACGTCGTCGGATTTTTGTCCGTCTATGCTTTACAATGACAAAGCAATGTACATCGAATTCATTGAAATTATAATTAAATACTTTTTGTTCATTGTTGATTGATTAGGCCCTAATGTGGTAGTTTATAGAGGAACTATTAATTATTCAGTCGGTGTACTGTTGGGTGCACCTGACGTGCTTGGGTATAATATAAAATTTTGTTTATCGACGCGATTAATATTTATTTTAGTACTTGTGCATTAAGGATTTGGAAGGTGAGTTTGTTTTACTACGAAGCTACATGTGG